GAAGGCCCCGTCTTCAGCCTGAGAAAGAAAACAGAACTACAGGAGACCCTGCTGTGGGCTGTGTTTCTGTTGTAGACCCCAAAAGGCCAGACTGAAAATCAAAGCAGAGCCTCCTGTAGAAAACTTCACTCGTTGGTCCCTCAGAAACTCATGTGACCAGTCAGGAGGGAAAGACCATGGTCCCAAACCTGCCACCTTTCGAAGCCTTCACGTAGTCTCTGCAAAGGAAGGGAGTGGAAGTAACCTGTTTCCTTGTTTTGTCTCCCTGTTCTCACCTTTCAAGGAAAATCATCCTGATTGACCCACCTGCTCTTGTTTCTGGCCCTCCCAGATTCTCTCCACAAACCAGCCCTCTGCCCAGCAGACTGCTTTCAGAGCAAAGTGTTGCAGGACTCTACAGTCACAAATAGTCACAACCTATGACCTAGAGGCATAGGAACTCTTAGCACTAAGAAGGCTGAGGCAGGGGGATCACCCCTCAAACTCATAACTCACAGAGACCCACCTGCCTCTGCCTCCCAAAAGCTGAAATTTTTGTTTAAAGATTTATTATGTATACAGTGTTCTGCCTGCATGTGTACCTGCATGCCAGATGAGGGCACCAGATCTCATTACAGATGGTTGTGAGCCACCATGTGGTTGCTGGGACTTGAACTCAGAACCTCTGGAAGAGGAGCCAGTGTTCTTAACCACTGAGCCATCTCTACAGTCCTGTTTGTTTTTGCTATTGTTCCTTTATTCACTTTTTCTTGAGACAGTCTCACTATGTAGCCCAGGCTGGCCTGGAATTCTACATCTTTTTGCCCATCAGACCCAGGGCTGGTATGTAATATAACACTACACTCCAGCTGATCTAATATCAAAGAACAAATAGTATAAGGAAAAAATATGGTTTTGTGTATCTGTAAATGATTAAAAATTGTCTATATAGTATCCCAAAACCAATCATTCAGAATGAAATACTACATTTAAAATAATACAAACTTTATAAGTACAATCTTTAATATGGAAAGTATATTCTATTGATTCCTCAATAGTATCCTGGAAACCCCCAGGAGCTTACAACAGCAAGAAGAGTTCAGGACAGCAACGTCAAAGTCCAAGTCCTGTGCTAAAACCAAGAATTAGAATAACCAACCCATTCCCTGTGTTTAGTTCTGTGCTTTGAAACAGGGTCTCCCTGTGTAGCTCTGGCTGACCTGGAGCTTGGCATGTAGGGCAGGCTGGCAACAAACACACAGAGCCCAGTTGCCTCTGCCCCCCAGTGCTGGGATCAGAGGCAGTGAAACAGGCCATTCTCCCTTTGGAGATGATCGCTCAGGCACTGCCTCTCCAGAGATCTCCAGCAATTGCTCTTCACAGAGACAGAGCACTAACAGTGACTCCTGTACCAGCTGTCGCTAGTCACGAGATTTCAGTGATGTCCCTTGAATTATATTCCGAATCTTCTCCGCATCGTTCTGTACAACTGTGTTGGATGGGTCGATCTTAAGCGCAGCTTCATAATCTTGCAAGCCTGTATAGACATATCAGTGAGAATCAATAAAGCAAGTATTTCATAAGTATCTGTGTTATCTAGGCACCTTTTTGTTTTTTAAAACAGGGTCTCCTGTATGTCGCTCAGCCGACTTTGAACTTGATAGGTAACTGAAGACAACTGTGAACTTCTGATCTCCTGCCTCCACCTCCCAAGTGCTGGCATTACAGTGTGTGCCACCACACACAGTTTATATGGTACCAAGGCCTTATGAATGCGAAGCTACTCTACCCCATCAATACCATCCCCCATCAATCTCTTACCTTCAACATACAATTCCAGTTGACAGAAGGCTGTACCTCGTCGGACATGTGCCTTCACTCTTGCATTGGCATTATCGGAAACAGGTGGTGTCAACAATTCTAGTGCCTTCAAACAATATATATATAAAATTAGCAGTTAGGAAGATGCTCCATGGATAAAGTACTTGCTCTGTAAGCATGAAGACCTGTATTCTAACCCCAACATCCACAGAAAACTCCAGGCACGGTGGAGCATGCTAGTGCCAGTGCTGTGGGAAGCCGACACAGAGGATCCCTGGCGCTGGTTGGCAGGCTAGACAGCCTAACTTAATCAGCAAGGCCCTGATCCCAGGGAGAGACTGCTTCAAAAGAAAAAAAAAGTAAAAAGTAGTAATTAAAGAAAAAGAGACCATGAATATGGTGGGGGGTGGACATGGGAGGAATTGAGGGAGGAGTGGGGAAATGATCTAATTATATTTTAATTAAATTTTTAAAAAGTCACACACACAAATGCAAGTGTGAGGCTAGGAAGATGGGTTAGAGGCTAAGAGCACTTGCTGCTCTTCCAGAGGACCTGAGTTGAGCTCCCAGCACTCATGGTAGGCACCACTACTGTCTATAACGTCAGTTCCAGGGAATCCAGCGTTGTCCTCTAGATCCCAAGGCAACTGCATTGTGTGCTGTGAGGCCCTGTCCTCCCTGTTCCTTGAGGCCAAAATACAGGATGCAAGTAATGTTTACACTAACCAGCTAAGCTTCCTGCTAAGTTCCGTCCTTGCTTCTTCTACAGCCTGGTGCAATAGCCTGAGGGATCTATTTTACTTTAAAATGGTAATTTCTCAACCTGCCTGAAAGAAGCTCAGGCTTCAAGGTCTGTCTAACCTGTCTGACCTTGCCTTGCACCCTCGACCACCTGACCACCTGCCTTCGGAGAAGCTCCCACAGATGTCAGTTTCCCCAGCCCCCTCTGGGTGGGAGGAGTTTTCCTTTACTGGGGCCGAAGGTATTTAACCCTGGATCAAGTTGAATAAATTGGGCATTCTCTTCTTGAGGATGACTGGAACTCTGTATCTGTGTGTGTGCGTCTTGTGTTTTAACCCCTAGGACAATATGGAACTCGTGGGAGGTGGGTGGCACGGAACGGCGACCCCCACAGTGTGCATACCCACATACACACACCATACACACACCATACACATGATCAAAAATAAATCCTTAATAAATAAGGTGAGCCTGAAGAACACCAAGACTGCCTCTTGCCATTACACATTCCTGCACACGCTCATCCACACACATCTATGCACCTACTGTGTATATTAGACAAAGGGAAGAGCTGGGGCAGAGGTGGCGCATGCCTTTAATCCCAGCACTCCGGAGGCAGGTGGATCTCTGTGAGCCCAGAGACCAGCCTGGGCTACAAGAGCTAGTTTCAGGACAGGCATCAGAGCTACAGAGAAACCCTGTCTTGAAAAAACAATAAATAAATAAATAAATAAATAAATAAATAAATAAATAAAATAAAAGGAGGCTGAGGCTGTAAGTTCTAGGCCAGCCTGGTCTACAGAGCTCCAGGACAGGCTCCAAAGCTAGATAGAGAAACCCTGTCTCAAAAAAAAAAAAAACCAAAAAACAAAAATCCACCACCACAACAAAGGGTAGACTTAAAATTAAGTCTGTGCAAAAACAGTGAAAATTCCAAATTCTAACTTGAAAGCAGATATGAGAACAGCTTAATGGTTTGCACCTGTAATTCCTGTACCAGGAGCATTACAAAATTGGGCATGGTCACAGGCCTGTAGTCCCAGCACGTGGGAGGATCAGGAATGCAAGGCATTCTTCTCTACTGCTGTGCTCTCAGCCAGTCTAGGCTGCACAAGACTCTGACTCAAAAATAAATAAAAAAGTAAAAATACAAACAAATCAAACTGCTGGGCCTGGTGGCACAGGCTTATAATTCTAGCTATTGGGCAGGCACAGAACAGCAAATTCAAGGCCTATTCAATTTTAGCTTAGGCCTGAAATATAAGTTATACTGGTAAAGTCAATACTATTTGTGCTTATTGAGAGCTGACTCAAGCATGGTCATTTCAGGATCTTCCAAAATCCCATGTCCTTGGTTAGGTTGCCCTCTGGCTTCCTATAACAGGTAGAAAGGAAAACAGTTAAGAGCAAAGGGTGTTATTAAAAACAGGGCACCCCTGAGAAACGCTGGAAGGGGAACCATTCCCAGCAGAGGTTACTATTGCTTATCATACAGTATAAAAATGCCTGCTGTGGGAAGGAGAGGTTATTATTGCCTATCATACAGTATAAAAATGCC